TAGATAGATAGATAGATAGATAGATAGATAGATAGATAGATAATAGGACAGATATGATGGATGGATAGACAGACATAAATATAAATTATAGATAATGGTGGATAAGAGATAGATGATAGATACATAGATGATAGATAGGTAGATGATAGAGATAATGATAGATGGGGGGAAACTCCCATCAGGTATAATGGGTCCGTTGATGGGTCATAAAATCAGGCATGGTCATATGGTAGGTAGATAACCCCCATGACTTATGACCATAATTTGGAGATCAATTATGGCCCTAAGTCAAGGACTTTCTATATCCTGCACAGCAAAACACTTTTTCAAACTTCAGCTCTTTTCCAAAATGTAAGTCTAAAGATGGTCTGTAATTCAGTTCCTTGAACCTGTGGAGAAATTCAAGACTGCAGCATCCAGGCCATATGCAGAGTGCCACGGCAACACAGCTGACTCTCTGTCTCTTTCTCTCTGTCTCTCTCTTTCTCATCTCTCTTTATCTCTGTCTCTTTCTCCCCCCTCATCTAACTGTCAATCAGCCTCCCTTCCACACACACAAACACACAAACACACACAGAGACAGAAAAGCACACAAACACAGAACTTCCCAGAATTGTAATGTCACGTTTTGCAAAGCAAAATACCAGGAAAGATTATTTCAAAATAAACATTACACAATAGAATGGAGGAGGACGGCAATTAACCCACGGGACTGTCATCTCATTCTTACGAAAAAAAATAATAATAGCCTAGCTGTTTGCTAGACTGGGATCAAGACTTTCAATTCTGAAGAGCAAGAAAAGGGGGAGGAAGGAAAGGAAGGAAGGAAGGAAGGAAGGAAGGAAGGAAGGAAGGAAGGAAGGAAGGAAGGAAGGAAGGAAGGAAGGAAGGAAGAGAAGAGAAGAGAAGATTAGGGAAGGGAAGGAAGAGAAGGTTAGGGAAGGGAAGGATAGGGAAGGGAAGAGGGAGGAATGGAGAAAAAAGGAAAGACGGGAAGAGAAGGGGAAAGAAGGAAAGGGAAGGGGAAGGAAGAGAAAGGGAAGGAAGAAAGGGAGGGGGAGGAGGGAGGGAGCAAAAGGAAATGAAGAGAAGGGGAAAAGAAGAGGGGGAGGAAAAGGAAAGGAAGAGAAGGGGAAAGAAGGAAAGGGAAGGGAGGAGGGGGAAAAGGGAAGGAAGGAAGGAAGGGAAGGGGAAAGGAAGAAAAAAGGAATGAGACAAAGGAAGTGCACAACCTTTCTGTCCTCTCCATATATATATATATTTTTATTTTCAATGCCTCCATTTCAACTTTGGATCTAAGCTGTGCCAAGAATATTAGTACGCAACATATTTTGGCAGGGATAATTGACTAGGTCATCTGTGGGTTTTTTGGTTGTTGTTGTTTTTGTGGAAAGTGTGCAAATCCATAAACACCCTGCCTCTTTCACTCACCCCCCAATTAAACTCAACAACCCATCCTCTGAATTCAACCTGGATTCAGCCGTATGAAACCGGGGAAGGGTTGGGGAATATCCCAGTCTTCAGCTCTCTCCAAACTTTAACCCACAAATTGTAGTTTTGGATTAATGGGGGGTGGGGTGGAAATGTCACGCATGAGGTCCTCTGGATATGTCGGACTCCAACACCCTTCATTCTCAACTGTAGAGGGCCACCTTTGATGGCCATGTTGTTGATTTTTGGATGACAGAGGGCTGTTGGAGGCGATGCTAAAGTATTTTGAGTCTTTCCTTCTGCAATCTTTTGTGGATTTAGGAATCATTTCCTCTGAATTCAGAAGGACTTAGTTCAGGGATGTCCAACACAAGGCCCAAGGGCCGGATGTGGTGAGATAAAACCCGCGGGCCATCCTGGAAAATGTAAGGAGTGGCCTGCATTGCTTTAGCCCGCTTCACCTAATGCGAAGGGGAAAACATGCCAGCAGTTTGGGGAGTGGCGTCAAGCTGGCCACACCCACCCAGTTAACCACACCCATCCAGTCACCCACAGCCGCCCGGCCCCCCTGAAGTCAACCACAGCCCTGATGTGGCCCTCAATGAAATTGAGTTTGACACCTCTGTTCTAGAAGCTTTCTACAGCACTCTTTCCTTGGTGACTTCCAACAGAATCCAAAGGGTAAAGATAAACTATTTAATGACACTAGCATACCCGCTATCAGTGGTGGAATGCTGACGGTTTAACAATCGGTTCGATGAGTGCACGTGAGAAACTGGAACGTTCAGCTGCTTACCTTCCAAGTCAGCAACGGTAAATAGAACAGTGTGGGGTGGGTGAAATCAACTCTGCCGTGCGATTGAGATGAGCTACAAAGCAGGAAATAAAGGACAGGATAGGGCAGGGATGGGTGGGCCCAGCTGATTGTCGTAACTACCGATTCGTGCAAACCGGTGCGAACCGGTAGTATCCCACAAACTGCCCCCTATCTGCATCCTTCTTCAAAGGCCATTCTCATGGTTCAACCTGGAATCTCTCTCCACTATTACGCAATTCTTTCCCCATCATTCGCTGACCTGGGGAAAAATTAGTCCTTGACTTACGACTGCAATTGAGCCCAAAATTTACGTGGCCGAGTGAGAAAAGTGAGTGTTGCCCCATTTTACGACTCTTCTTACCATGTTTGTTAAGCGAATCGCTGCAGTGGTTCAATGAGTAACCCCGTTGTTAAGTGAATCCATTTTCCCCATTGACTTTGCTCGTTGGAAGGTCACAAAAGGGGATCACATGACCCCGAGACGCTGCATCCGTTATGTGAGTCAGTTCTCAAGCATCCGAATGTGAATCATGTTGACCGCAGGGATGCTGCAACAGTTGTTAAGTGTGAAAAGGGGTCATAAGTCCCTTTTTTTTTCAGTAAGTGTGAATGGTCATTAAGCTAACTGTCATAACTCGGGGACCGCCTGTAAGTTGAATCCATTTCTATCCTCGCATTTCAATCTTATAGAAAAACTAGCTTGATACCGGTGCTTCGCTACAAAACTATATGGTCAGGCGTTAGTTTTTGGGGAGGAAAATAAGGAGGGGAAATTCTGCCTCTGCCTACCAGCATCCCTCAATATTCATCTGGCTAGCATCCTGTCAGTGTGTGAGAGGTGAGGGCTGTTTGGAAACTGAAACAGTATTTGCTGTGTGAGCAAGGAGACAGCAAGAAGCCTGGGTGTGGCTTAGCTCAACTGTTCTGTATTAAAGCTGGTTGCTGTTGTGAAACTGAAACGGAAACTGAATGTGTTTTGCATTTGGAAGAGATTTCTTTTCAGGTGGGGAGGGGGAGTAGAACTCCTTAGCATCAGAGCGTGTTAATAATAATAATAGAGGAAATACTCTAAATGCTCTGATGGCCATTTCAAAAAATCCTTTCTTACGGAGCCCCTAGAAGCCAAGAGGAACATATGTGCCAAATTTCAAGTTTGTAGGCTTTACGGTTGTGGAGATTTTGTGATGATGTGCGAGTGGCCTTTCGCTTTGATAGATAGATAGATAGATAGATAGATAGATAGATAGATAGATAGATAGATAGATAGATAGATGATAGAGATAGATAAGAAGGAACCACAACCCAGACAGGGATTGAGGTCCATCAGTACACTGCTTTATACAGGAAGTCCTCGACTTACGACCACAACATTTGAACCTACCATTTCTATTGCTAAGCAAGACTGATGTTAAGCGAATTTTGCCCCATTTTAAGGCCTTTCTGGCCATGGTTAAGTGAATCATTGCCATTGTTAAGTTAGCCACACCAGTTGTTAAGTGAATACGGCTTCCCCATTTGACTTTGCTTGTCAGAAGGTCGCAAAATGGGGAATCACGTGACCCCAGAATACCGCGACCGTCATAAATATGAATCGGATGCCAAAGCGTCCACAGGAATACGAATCAGATGCCAAAGCGTCCACATGACCGAAAGGGATGCTGCAATGGTCGTAGCTGTGAAAAAAAATGATCCGTTTTTTTCAGTCCTGCTTTTAACGTTGAACTGTCGCTACATGTGAACACTTTGTAAGTCAAGGACTAACTACTACTTTTCCCACCAAAGAAAAAAATAAATCACACTTTATACCTTTTTTAAAAAAGAGGGGAAAATCCAGCATTTATTATTTTTCTTTTCTTTTTTTTTTTTTTTAAAAGCGGGGGGAATTGTCTTTGACAATTCTTTTTTCATAACAAAAAAAAAAAATGTTTTCTTTTTAAAGTAACAAAACAGTTCCAGACAATTTAGGCAGGGGCCAAAACAAAATAAATCTTTTAAAACTTCCAGCGTTTCAAGTCCATTTCCACCCAGAAATGGTGTGTGTGTGTGTATGTGTGTGTGTGTGTGTTTTGTTTTTTATTATTGCTAATGTTAAAAAGGAATAACAGAACAGAAACAGCTTACATTACCGGCTGTAGCCATTTGACATATATATATATATATCCCTTTGAAAGAACGGGTGTTTATTATTAATAACAAAATAATCACAATAATAATAAAAGTAGAACAATAAACAATATTAAACCCCTCCCACCCCACCCAGAAACAATTTGATCGTTAAACACAGTTTAATTCCGTTTGGAGACCCCTTTGAAAATATATAAATCACCCACCCCCTGCCCTTATTTAAAAAATGCTCAGAGCATAAATTGTGGGAGGGGAGGGTTGTAAGGCACCCAATTCCCGGCCTGCAGGATTTCGACATTCTCCTCCTATGCCAATTCTATATGCCCACATCCCATTAATGTGCTATTTTTAATCCCTTGCATTTTTTTCTTTAAAAAAAAGGCATTTCTATATAATAATTAAAATACTTAAAAAAATCAAGACACAGGATCATAAGGCAGTTTGAGGCAGTTCTCTGGTGCAATTCATTTCTCCCGCCCACCCCCCGTTTTGCAAAAAAAAAAAAAAATGCTGCTTTTGGTTCATTTTCGCAGAATCCGGAATGGATTTTAAGTCAGAGGTCCCCAGCCGTGGCCACTTAGAGATTTGTGGACTTCAACTCCCCCAATGCCTCAGGCAGCCATGAAGTCCATAAAGTCTTAAAGTAGATAAGGTTGGGGACCCCTGTTTTAAGGGACAATGCCAGTGGACTTCAACTCCCAGAATTATTCAGGCAGACATGCTGGCTGGGGAATTCTGGGAGTTGAAGTCCATAAAGTCTTAAAAAGTTGCCAAGGTTGGGGAACCCCTGTTTTAAGGGACCACTGTAAACACCAGGCCAACTTCACCAGATGGAGAAGTTAACACTTCCAGAAGTGGCCCTGCCAACATCTGGAACCTCATCACCAGTCAGGTACCCTCCAGGGATATGGAGGAGTCCCAAATTCTCACCCCCAAATTCTCAGCCAAAATGTCCAACAAAATTGAGTCCTAACCTGAAGTGCCCATGGGAGCAGTTAAAAAAAAAAATCAAGATGGCAGTCAATGATAGCGGCCATCTTGACTTCTTGGACGACCCTAGATCTCAACATCTGGAAGGCACCCGGATGGGACAAACATCTCCTGTAGCCCACATAATCTTGGTCCCTCTCTCCCTCTCTTTCTCTCTCAAACATGCCCCATTTTCCAATATGATCAAGGTACCAACGGTCCACTTTATTACGTCATGAGGAAAGCTCGGCTTACCCCCTTTTCCCACCTGACCGGTTAGGCCCTTTATGATTCTTCGCTACCCCCTCCCCCCAAAAAAGTTGGCATTTGGGACAGATCCACCAACCCTAGCGTCCCACCCATTTTCCTCCCTGCTATTTCTGATTGGTAAGACTCCATCACACTTCCTCCTTCCCTCACCCAATGGAAGGAGAAAGTCCCCTTCAGAACACAGTAATTCCTTTCCAGAGCCGTAGATCTCTAGACTAAGCTCTACAACGCTTCGCCCACCAAAGAGCCAAACCCTATAACTCCCCTACCCATTGTGGTTTTTTGGTTGGCAACACAGACGAGATGGTTCCTCCACCATTTGCCCTTGGGAGGAAGGACCGAGCAAGGTGGTGAGAGAGAGAGCTAGAGACCAATTTTAGATTTGAAATTCCACAGAACGGTCGGGAGAACTAAAGTGTTCATGGTATGGATTTTGGCCCACTGGTTTTGCAAGCAGGAAGGTCATACGAGGTCAACAGATGGGTAGCCATGAGGTTGGCCTGGCCATAACCCCCGTAGAGTGGGCTCTTCAACTTTCTGCCTCATCGGATTAATTAAGGAGTGTGCTCAGCACACCCACTCGCCCCGTGGGTGAGAACGGATAACGCCATAGGAAGGAAAGAGAAGCAGAGCGAAAGAGAGGAAGGAGAAAAAGAGAAGGTCAACAAGGATCACTGTGGTCAAGGAAAGCTCTTGGAGAGAGAGAAAGTGGCTGATGGCTGGCAGAAAATGGGATGAAGAAGTAGGGAGGACCAGGAAAAAGATGACTTAGAAGGTGGCAACCAAGAGATCGGACCCGAATTCGTACAGGCAGGTAGACAGGGTGGAAAGCAGGTGAGACCTGTCCTGAAACATCTCCAAAGGCCGGTCACACCTTGTCCAGCAGAGACCGCTGGCAATAGAGCAACCGTTTGGGTGTGCCGTAACGCTTGAAAATCAGAATGGCGACTCCCACGGCGCAGATGGTGAGGAGCAGCAGGATGGGGATCACCACCGCAGCGGCGTTCAGCCCGCCTGCCTCAGCATTGTCCACTTCAATGATGATGACTTCTTCTCCCTCGCGACGGTCATCGGTGGCGCATCCCATCCAGTCTCGCAGCACTGACTTAGGGTACCCTGGTTCGACCTTGAGTTTCTCGTTGTTAAACTTCCAGTAACGGTCTCCCTTGTAGAAGTAGGTGAAGGCTATCGAGGGAAGACATGGAAGAACAGACATGGGAGAGTTAAGAACATGGTGGTACATTAAATGAGAAATTGTTCTGACCCAGCTCCCCAAACACGACAAACACCCTGAAGCTCACTCAAAGATTCCTTTATCAGGAGCGCCAGAAATCCCAGCAAAAGATTTCTCTCTCACCGCAGGCTAACAAATCTGTCCGGCTGTGTGCCACACCTATTCATCTCCGCCCCCTGCCTTTTATCCCCAGAGATAAGATGGGGCTTTTCTAGCAGCGGTGGCTCTTCCTTCCCAAGGACCGGCCCATAGATTTCCACTGCTCTCCTCTCCTCTGCTTTCTGCACATCTGCGTGTCAGGCACTGGGCCCAGCTGTTCCTCCTCTTCCTCATTAGCCATCTCCAGACCTGGGGGCTGTTGACTCTCCATTTAGGGCTGACAAATGGCCCAGCCTCCGCCTCTGTCTCTCTCTCTCTCTGCCAGCTCCACTCCCTCTTCCCCCTCAGGTTGCCTTGATGCTGACCCTAACTCCCACACCTCCTCCTCCTCCTGATTTGGCTGCTGGAGGGGCAGGCCACAACGGAAATGCTAAATGCCATTTTAAATATGGGATGGTGTTTTTCCTTTAAATCAGATGTTGTGAACTATGGCCCTTTTGTGACTTGTGGACTTCACAAGTTGAAGTTCACAAGTGCCATAGTTCCCTATCCCTGCTTTAGATTTCAGATTTGTGAGGAGAATTATAGGAATTAAACACAGATAGTCCTCGATTTACAACCTCTCATTTCAACGTTCGAAGTTATGCCGGCACTGAAAAAAGTGGCATTTTTTTCACACTTACAACCGTTGCAACATCCCCATAGTCATGTAATCAAAATTCAGACGCTTGGCAAATGTTTCGTATTTATGACGGTTGCAGTGTCCCAGGGTCACATGATCCCCTTTTGCAACCATGTTATTAACTTAACAATTGAATGATTCACTTAACAATGGTGGCAAGAAAGGTCGTAAAACCGGGCAAAGCTCACTTAACAACTGTCACACTCAGGAAAGGAAATTTTGGGCTCAACTGTGGTAATTACGTCGAGGACTACCTGTGAATGAAATCCAGAACCCAAAATCTAATTTCAGGCATCTTTGGGGGAAAAAACAATGAAAGCAATCATATGCTCTGTGACTAAAATAAAAGTTTGAAGTTTGGTATTATCAGAAACTTATTTTACAATTTTTACTGGGTTGAACCAAGACAGTGATTTTGTTTTTCCAATGGGAATTCAATTAAACTTAAAGAAGTGGTGCAATAGCCCAGAGATGGAGTTCTCGCCTCACAATCAGGAAGCTGTGAATTCATTCCTAGGGTAGAGGCAGATGTTTTTCTCTCTGGACACACTGAGAATATATCTGCTGAACAAAACTCCGCATTGGTGACAGGAAGGGCATCCGGCCATTAGAACACTCAGTGTTCTAATGGCCAGATGCCTTTCCTGTCACCAATGCGGAGTTTTGTTGCCCAGCTCCATTCAGTTGCCCAGACTCCACCCTGCAAGGGATTATGGGGTCATTAAAAGATGATGATGAATTTAATTAAACTTAAAAATCACCTTTCTTCATTCCTATCAGTTATTCTGATTGCTAGAAATAAATTTGGACACCTCATTTGCACCTCATGAATGAAATCGGCAGGGATATATTTTTGCTGGACAAAAAAGGAAGAATGGATCGTTTCAATGCATATGTTAAGCAATTCTGATCCTACTTAAGCAAGGCTTCCAAATTTGGATTAGAAAGAAGGACTTCCTTCTTCCAAATAAGGAAAATGATTAAGATAAACATCAGTCAGTCCATGTATGAATAATCATTACTAATAAGACATCGGTGAATCGTTTTATGTAGGCGCATTGAGACACCAGAAATTTTTCGTCACGGTGGAAATGACTCTTAGCCTCATCGACGTTCCCTGTCGGTAAATGTAGAACTGGAGAGCAATTAAATATGAGTTTGAGGCTCTTAAAAGTATCTTCACAGAACGCTCGTTCGATCTGCTCAGGAAAAAAATGAATTTACAGGAAGCCATTCGGTTTCCAGTGCTTTGATTTAAGGCCATTCAAAGGCAAAACTGCATCCAATTTAACTGTATTTGAAACCCATCACACATAGTTAGAAACTATGTGCAGCCTTGGCTTGGAAGCAGAAATGAACTGGAACCGGTGACTTCAAACTGTGAAGAAGGAGGCCAAGGTTAAACATCAGAGCTTCCTGATAATATGAGCTGTTAGATAGTGGCACAGCTTGCCACATGAAATTATGGGTTCAGCATTTCTTCAAACAGAGGCAGCGAAACTGCACTGACTAAGGATTTCGACTAGATGATCTCTAAAGCTTCTTCTAATCCAAAGGTCCTAGAAAAAACCATGCTCCTACCTTAAGGCATTCTCTGAAGTTATTTCCTAAAGGGAAGAGTAGGCAAGGAATACCTTCGGCAATTATGAGGATAACTAGTATTGGACTAGAAACAAAATGTGGATTAAAATCTTGACTTGCCCATGAGGGCCACCAATTCCTTTGCAGTCAAACCTACCTCACAGCGATATCATGGGGATTTCTTCATGGCAGGCTAAATTGGTCCTTGTGTGGAATCCCACGTATTAAAACCAATCTATCCTACCTTCAGAGCCTCAACCACATCCATTTTTAAGATGCATGAACTTCAACTCCCAGAATTCTGAAACACCCAATCAACCTTTCCTAAGTAGCCATGTTGTGCTGTCTAACACACGCTCTCATTCTGTCTATTGAGATTCTCAGGTCATGGTTGTCCTAAAGGTGCTTTTTTCCAAAGGCAACTAGGCTTGGTTTTTCCTTGAAGATGTTTTGCTTCTCATCCTAAGAAGCTTCTTCGGTTCTGACCGAATGGTCATTGAATGGAAGGATTTATATTCCTTGCAGTCATCTGGTCATTAGTACTCTCTCTGAGAGTCGTTGAGGCCACTTGGAGATGTATTTGTGCCCTCAGGGTCACCTGAATAGTTCCACACCCATTTGCACGCTTCAGGTGACTCTGAGGACACGGATACACCTCCCAGTGGCCTCAATGACTCTCAGAGAGAGTACTAACAGCCAGATGACTGCAAGAAATATAAATCCTTCCATCTTCCACCATTCAGTCAAAAGCTTCTTGGATAAAAAAATGAAACGTTTCAAGGGAAAACACAGTCCATTTGACTTTAGAAAAAACACCTTTGGGACATGCTTTTTACCCACCCAACATGGCGGATGGGAGTTTTTACTTTCAACAGTAGGGGACCACTTTGCAAAAAAAAAAATATTAGTAGATAGTGGGAATGCTTTCAATGGTACAAAAGCAGTTTCTTTTTCAGCGCTCTGGTGCTGAATTTTCTCCACATTCTTTTCTGTGCCTTACCTTCATCACTGCCCATAAATGCACCTCGGAGTGAGTCAGGAATTCCCCCCCAAACATCAATGTTTTTAGGGTAATCTGCGTCAACGGATCGGGTCTCCTCATTGAAGCGATAATACCTGAATTGCAAAAAGAGAACGTTCAGATCCATTGAACGAAAAGGAGGCTGGAAGACCACGAGGATCCCTTCCAACTCTTTACGATTCTATGATGGGGAACTGTGTGTGAAATTGACACCTGCTTCATAAAAACCTTCAGGAAGCCTGCAATGTCAGCTGTTAAATCTTTTGCGACCTTCTGACAAGCAAAGTCAATGGGGAGGCTAGATAGATAAGAATAAAAAAGAGGGCTGTGAAAATATCTACAGACCCCTCACAACTTGGACATAAACTGTTTCAACTCCTATCCTCAAAACGATGCTATAGGGCACTGCACACCAGAACAACTAGACACAGGGACAGTTTTTCCCTGAAAGCCATCACTCTGCTAAACAAATAATTCCCTCAACACTGTCCAACTATTTACTAAGTCTGCATTACTATTACTATTAATCCTCCCATTCTTCCTTTCACCTGTCTCCTCCTTTTTATGACTGTATGACTGTAACCTTGTTGCTTGTATCCTAACAATTTTTATTGACTGTTTCCTAGTATGATTTGATTGATTATGGTATCCTATGACTATTATTAAGTGTTGTACCTTATGATTCTTGACTCTTGACGAATGTATCTTTTCTTTTATGTACACTGAGAGCATTTGCACCAAGACAAATTCCTTGTGTGTCCAATCACACTTGGCCAATAAAGAATTCTATTCTATTCTATTCTATTCTATTCTATTCTATTCTATTCTATTCTACTCTACTCTACTCTACTCTACTCTACTCTATTTATCCCAAAGGTGCTTTTTCTAAATTAATAATTACTATCTGGGCTCAATTGCTCTCCTAAATGAAGGACTATCTATACTAGTACATTGGGATAATTCCTTATCCAGCTAAACAGAAACGAAGATGATAAACATTTGGCCAACTCACTTATTTCCCCTGAAAAAGTACGTTTTTCCACTCGGCATCCAGAAAAGGGCAGCGTCGATCCGATCCGTGGGGAGCCTCCTTCCTAACTCCTTGATATGTTTCGGGTATCCTGGCTCCAAGTTGGCTTCATTGAAAACCCAATGTTTGTCTCCTGCAAGGAGAAGGCAGTCAACCACCCATGCTAAGTATCTCTGGGGTTTGTTTTGTTTTTGAGAAACATCCAAAGCTGTTGGGTTTCTCTAGTCTAGTGAAAAGAAGGACTAGAGTAGACAAGATGGCAGCATTCCAGTATTTGAGGGGCTGCCCCAAAGAAGAGGGGGTCCACCTGTTCTGCAAAGCACCAAAAGGTAAGACAAGAAGCAACAGATGGAAACTAATCAAGGAGAGAAGCAACCTAGAACTAAGGAGAAATTCCCTAACAGTGAGGACAATTAATCAGTAGAACAGAAGTTATGGGGTGCTCCATCACTGGAGGTTTTTAAAAAGAGACTGGACAATTACTTGTCTAGAATAGTATAAGGTCTCTTGCTTGAGTAGGGGGCTGGACTAGAAGACCTCCAAGAACCCTTCTGACTCTGTTATACTGTTCTGTTTGGTTGACCCTCTGATTCATTTAACATCAAATTGAAAAATGAATAATTGAAACCCGAGTTGTATATCATTGGTGGCTTCAGGTAGTTGTGATGCAAACAGAGTCATGAGTGTTTAGAACACTCCTTTGTTCATTCCAATAACCTTGGAAATGAGAACTGGCTTCTCAAATCAAATAACTTAATTGTAGTGCGTTTTGAGTTGGGCTCGTCTGTGCATTTTGAGTTGGACTCATCTGACGGACGAGCCCAACTCAAAACGAACTGACAATGTCTCCTCGAATGGTGACGATATGTTTGCAACCCGAATGCCAAGCTTGGAGCTCAAACCAACAGCTTTATTGCAGTCGTCAACCAATAGAGTTTAGGCTTCTTGTCATTTCTCATGTTCTTATAAAGAATCCAGGTGGAGCCAACACAGATTAAAATCTGAGCCACGCCAACCACGATGTGGTAGAAAGACATATCACGTTAAAGAGCAGAGGGTTTGGACTGATCCTGCACACCACTCTGAATCCCAATGTTACTCCAATGTGGTGTCGTCCAAAAAAGCTGCCTCCAGAGGTCCTGGATTACAGTTCCCATCCTCCCCAGCCAGTGCAAACACCAGCTGCAAGAGCTGGAAGCGTGGAGATGGGCTATCCAAGAGACCTTAGGAAGATGATACCACTTTGCGAATCGCTTTTTCATTGAAATGTACCAACCAAACCACAAATTTAACTTGGTCTCCCCCTATTAACTTGTTTAGTGACCAAAGTTACAATGGCACTGAAAAAAGTTGACATAACCATTTTTCATACTTACGGCCCTTGTAGCTTTTCCCACAGTCACGTGATCAAAATTCAGCCGCTTAGTGACTGACTCATATTTACAACAAGTGCACTATCTAGGGGTCACGTGATCCCCATTTGCGGCCTTCAAACAGGTAAAGTCAATACGGAAGCCAGATTCCCTTAACAACCAAATTGCTAACTTAGCAACTGCGGTAAGAAAGGTCATCAAATGGGGCAAAACTCACTTCGCAATTGTCTTGCTTAGCAATAAAAATTGGTTATGATTCAATTATGGTCATAAGTTGAGGACTACCTGCATGTTTTGCCAATGATTTACAATTGATGGGCAGGTCACAAATTGACATTTTAGGCTCGGTTTGCAAAAACCAGGATACTATGTAGAGAAAGGCAAGAGTTTTAAATTTGTTCTTCAGTAATCTTGCTGGCTCTTCTTGGTCAAAAGTCATGCCATTCAGGCAGGGATGTGATTCAACTGGTGTAACAACTGGTTTGGTGAGCACACGCTTTGCGAGCGTGCAGAGCATTTGCTACTTTCCAGCGATCCCTATATGTTAAACAGCTGACCCGTGGCAATCTGCTGTGCCACGCGATTCAGCTGAGCTTAAAAAATAGAATATAAAGCAAAGTCTAGAGGCCGTGTGGGTCGGTAGGCCCAACAGCTGATCGTCGGAGCAAACTGAACCTGTTCTCTCCCAGCTGATCCTTGGAGCTACCAGTTCGCACAAACTGGGCCAAACCGGTAGAATCCCACCCAAAACATAGTCCACTAACCTTTGAAAAAGACAAATTTCCCATCTTTCCTCTCGTAGGCCGTGTTGATCGAGGCAGGAAGACCGACCCAGAATTGACCGATCGGGAGGGGATATCCGTCTATCACACGGTTATTACGTACTCGCCAAAACCATTTATCCTGAAAAGCGTGAAATTTTCATTGCATCAGTCAAGTTATGCAAATGAGAAGAAATGTCAGCAGACTTCATTTCATTGGGAAATTCAAATCTAGGCATCTTCATGTCTAAAAATCATTAAATACAGACAGCATAGATCAGGGATAAGCGATTGTGGAAATGTACGACATACGACCGTAATTCCAGGTTCAATTATGGTTCTAAATTGAGTCTACCTATAATCCAGATGAAGTTGAATGCAATCTTTTCTAATACGAGAAACACAGCAACCCATCAGTGGTTAATTTCATGGAAAGGTGGGCTGGGTTTCTGGCAAAGAATATACTGTATATATTTTCAAATGCAGGATTCTGGTTGCAGAATTCCACCCCACGCAGAACGACGGAATTGGTCCAAAATCCAAAATGTGCGCCTCTCACCCACCCAACAACTTTCCTCTCTGTTCTGTGATGGTAAATCTCTCCAAACATCTCACCTTAAAGACAAACATCTCTCCCCGGAGTACCGCAATTGTGTCAAACCGTCCGTCGCAGATGTTGGGGCCATAAGTTGGGTTCTTGGGGGGCTTGTGAGGGTTTCGGGGTTTCGGAGTAGTCCGAGGGATCGGGGGAAGCTTGGTGGGATGGCCGCCTTCAGATCCTGACGAGAAGGAAGGAAAGAGTTGGTCTGAACAAATTCCAAAACCTGAGATGGCTAGATAGAAGCTTCTATAACTGGTTGTCCTGCCCAGGGACAATCTCCCATCTCCACAACCACCAGTTGAGGATGACGGAAGTTGAATCCAACTCAGGATGGGTTCTGGAGCGAAGAACAATTCTTTAGGAGTTGAGGAATCCCAACTAAGAATGGTCAAAGCTCCCTCCAGAAAGGATTAAAATCAACCCTCCCCATTCTGGACATTCTTGAATTGATCAAGAACAAAAGGCTATGCTTGAAATGGTGTTTGGAGAAGAAGAGAGAAAAATCCATGGAGGATCTAGTGAAAGTTTGGTGGCAAGCAAATTTCAGGGTTATTTCCTTCTCTTTTTCTTATTTCATGGCTCTGCTTTCTTTACTTTTTTTTAATCCTAACCTCTGTATAGCACTGCTTATCTTCAAAAGGATACCATGAGGGATACGTGTGTATGAAGCTACTAGCTCTATAACCGTGGTCACTATGAAACTATGTGATCGGGCTAAGTTTGGGGAGGAAAATTAGGGGGGGGGGATTGTGCCTCTGCCTACCAGCATCCATCGGTATTCAAGAGCCCTCAACTCTCTCACATACTGACAGGATGCTAGCCAGCATCCTGTCAGTATGTGAGAGAGTTGAGGGCTCTTTGGAAACTGAAACAGTATTTGCTATGTGAGCAAGAAGGAGACAGCAAGGAGCCTGGGCGTGGCTTAGCTCAACTGTTCTGTACTAAAGCTGCTTGGTGCTGTGAAATTGAAACTCCTCTCCTCTGCTTGTGTTTTGCATTTGGAAGAGATTTCTTTTCAGGTGGGGACGGGGAGTAGAACTCCTTAGCATCAGAGCGTGTTAATAATAATAATATATGAAATACTAATGCTCTGATGGACATTTCAAAAAACCCTTTCTTAGTGAGCCCTTAGAAGCCAAGAAGAACATGTGTGCCAAATTTCAAATTTGTAGGGTTTATAGTTCTGGAGATTTTGTGATGATGTGTGAGTGGTATTTCACTTTTATATACAGTATATAGATTCCTGACCAACTGGGTGATCTTTTTTTTATTCACACCTGGTCAACAGGTAAAGTATGCATAATTTCTAACAGCCTTTAGCCAGTTTTTTCCCCTGCTGAACAAAGCAAGGATGAAAAATAAAAGGAAAGTTTGTGATCACAAATTGTGGAAGTAGACTAGCAATCATGGCTACCATCTTCTTGAATGGTTTCCATCGGTAGCACTGAGAGAAACAGCTGCCTCCCACCTGGATTAAATTTAGCAGTTTGCTAGGATTGGAGACGTCAAAGGAAGAGAAGAACAAAAATAAGGAGCTGATGGAGGAATCGGGAGATCACTGTAGGATTGTGAAACCCATATCTGGAATTGAGTAGGTCTAATTTATTGAAAATAAGGACTAAGGGTGATATGATAGCAGTCTTCCAATATCTGAGGGGCTGCCACAAAGAAGAGGGAGTCAAGCTATTCTCCAAAGCACCTGAGGGAAGGACAAGAAGCAAAGGGTGGGAACTAATCAAGGAGAGAAGCAACCTAGAACAAAGGAGAAATTTCCTGACTGTTAGAGCAATTAGCCAGTGGAACAACTTGCCTCCAGAAGTTGTGAATGCTCCAACACTGGGAGTTTTTAAGAAGAGATTGGACAACCACTTGTCTGAATTGATATAGGGTTTCCTGCTTGAGCAGGGGGTGGACTAGAAGACCTCCAAGGACCCTTCTGACTCTGTTACACTGTTCTGTTCGGTTGGGTCTCTGATTCATTTAATGTCAAATTGAAAAATGAACAACTGAAACCCCATGTCCGAATTGTATATCATTGGTGGCTTCCTGCCTGAGCAAGGGGTTGGACTAGAAGACCTCCTTCCCTACTCAGTCATTATGTTATACCATAGAGCTGTTGTATCCCTCGCTGGTCATCTTCTGGCAGCTTGAAGTTTTCTGTGTCCATCCACTGGTAGAAAGGGGCCATGATGGCGGAAGGATCGTTCGAGTGCTCTAATCCCAGTGCGTGACCCAACTCATGGATGGCCACCAAGAAGATGTCATTTCCTGAAAGGCAGAGGGCAGGAAGTGAACTCAGGGCCAAGGGCGCTGTTGAAAAACCCTACCTCATCTTTCAGCTGTTGCAACTTCCCTCAACCTGCAGGAACCACGGAAGACAGAGAGATTGCTTCACAGCAGAAAATCAGAACTGCATAGCTCAGCAAAACTTTGGGGATGTGGAGGATGGAGCCTCTTCTATGGGCACCCCCCAGTTCTGACTCCCAAGAGTTCTCATACAGGATGGGGCAAAGGGATCCAAGAATGCAATCGAGGGAGTCTAGAGAGGTGGAAAAAAGAAGCAACACTCTGTCGGATCTCGAGTGAGTGAGTAGCGCTGATGGGATTAATCACGGATGGATCCACCATTCATGAGTCATTTGCACAATCTCTCTGGCTTCCGGGTTCCTCCAAGGATCTCAGTCTCCGTCCCCACCTCCATCAAAGGTTGCCCCATAATCCCACCCTCACCGCTGAGGTCATCGTTGCGAGAGGTCCAAGGCTCGGCTGCGTCGAAGTGAGTGTCGCCACCGATGTGGGGCCCCGGGAAGTAGGCATGGGCCAAGAAGCCGCCTTCGCCATCGAACGGGGTGCTATCCCCATGGAAGCCATCGGCGAAGAAGATCATGATGTCGGCCTGCGGTTCGCGGCCTTCCCGCACAGACGAATAAGGCACCTCGCGGAAACGCAGCGGCGTCACCGATTGCCAGACGCGGAAGGCCCGTCGGATTGCAGCAAAGGTGGCCTGTTCTCCAACCTTAGGCGTGTAGTTCTGGATGCTACAATAGAGGCAAAAAAAAAAAAAAACAGTTTCTAGAGCAGGGAGTCTTCAAATTTGACAGCTTTAAGACCTGTGGACTTCAACTCCCAGAATTCCTCCTCCAGTCATGTTAGCTCAGGAATTCTGTGAGTTGAAGTCCACAAGTCTTAAACTTGCCAAGTTTGAAGACCCTTGTTCTAGAGCCCTGGTTGAGTCCATCCCACAGTTTTACATCTCTAACCAGGATCTACGAACTGGGTTTGCTCACACAACACATTTTGGTTCCTAAATGGAAAGACAACTTGTCTATTGCCAAGACCCTTCACAATCCACAACATTATGTCCTATTACCTAATGTTATCTAGGTGTTTCGGGAGTTCAGCTGCCAGAATTGTCAACTAGCACCCCATAAATTCATAGAAAGGAAGAGATTTTAGAGATCCTCTAGTCTAACCCTCTGCTTAAGGCAGAAATCCATGTTTTTGAGGTTGTGGTTCCACCACAGCTGAAGGACCTCAAGTTAGCAAAGCTGTTGTGATGTGTTGGATAGATTAACTCACTCACTTGTCTCTCCCAGCCTCCATTTTTTACTTCTCTCAATGATAGATCAAGATCTCCCTCTATTCTCAGCCTTATTAATCAATACTCCATCTTATTTTGATATCTTTGATTGACGCTTTCAACATCTCCAGAAGTGAATGAGGAAGATACAAGAAATCTTCCAAGGAATCTGAGAATCTGGACTTAACTGTTATGTTAAGATATAAGATGGGTGGACTTCCAACTCCCAGAATTCCTTAGCCAGGAAGTTTAACTAGGCAACTTTAAGATGGTGGAATTCAACTTCCAGAATTCCCCAGCCAGGAAGTTCAACCTCAGCAACTTTAAGATGGGTGGAATTCAACTTCCAGAATTCCCTAGCCAGCCTTGCTGGCTGGGAATTCTGGGAGTTGAAGTCCACCCATCTCAAGTCACCAAGGTTGAGAAATACCGATTGTTTTCTTTTTTTAAGGTTTATAATCCTCATGTTTGTGCCAAATGGTCACTCTGGTATTTGGGACAGGAAGGAACTGAAGTCTGTGACAAGATTTCAAGTTAACTCTCGTTCTTCACCCCGTTTTCTAACTTCTTTCTTTCCTGGCCCCTTATGCAAAATTTAACAAAAACAACCACGGCTTGAGCCCTACCAGAAACTAAGGTCCATCTGCTGCCACTTCAAACCCTGGATTGCGTAGCGCCTGCGCCTCACGTTGGCTTTAATTTCCGCTCCAAATTTATCCGGGACGCCACAACGAGGCCTCTTCATAGCCCTAGAAGGAGAGAGATCCAGAAGATTAGATGTTTTCAGGGAGTGGATTCTTGGTTCCCAAAAAGATCTTTTGAGCCCCTCCGAGAGCTTTCAGTTCACAACTGCTGAAAAGTATAATCTAGTTCTCCACTTAAGAGAGGTAGAATTTGTGGCAGTACCCACACTTTCAGAAAGGGGAAAATGGAGGCTAAACATGCCAACCTGGGCTGAGTTCTTGAAAATAAGGAAGGTCAGTTTAACCACCAGGCTAAAATTCAGGAGATGGTGAGTTCCAATTCCACCTTAGATACGAAAGCCTGCTTGGTGACTTCGGGCCAATCACCAGGAGACAGTGAGTTCTAGTCTCATCTTAGGTACAAACACTGTCTGGTTGACTTTGGGCCAATCACCTGGAGATGGTGAGTTCTAGTCTTATCTTAGGCATGAATGCCAGCTGAGTGACTTTGGGCAAATCATCAGGAGATGGTGAATTCCAGTTCCATTTTAGATACGAAAGCCCACTTGGTGACTTTGGGCCAATCACCAGGAGATGATGAGTTCATGCCAGCTGGATGACCATGGCAGCTGGATGACCATGGCAGCTGGATGACCATGGTCAATCACCAGGAGATGGTGAGTTCTGGTCTCTCCTTAGGCATGAATGCCAGCTGGATGACCATGGTCAATCACCAGGAGATGGTGAGTTCTAGTCTCGTCTTAGGCATGAATGCCAGCTAGGTGATTTTGGCCCAGTCCCTCTCTTTCAGCCCAACCCACCTCTCAGGAATGTCGCTGTGGGGAAAATAGGAGGCTATGTTCACTGCCTATGATTTGCAAAAGTAATAAAGGTGGGGTACAAATAAACAAACAAACAAACAAACACGGTCATATCCAGCTGGAATTTGGATGGGAAAGCAGCCAGGTAGATCCCCAAGACTGAAGGCCACCTGGGCAAGTTGAACAAAAGAGATCTTGGAAGACCCCTCCCATTATCAGAAGTCAAGGAACACCATCCCTGTTGCCTCTGGAGTCAAGTCATGGATGACTCTTGAACTCACAAGCTGATTAATTCTTAGCTCACCGGAAGGCTTAATGGATGCCTTGGCCTAAATTAAGAAATGGGAAGTGCTCCGTATGTCCAGGACCACAACGAAACCCGCGGTTTAGCTGCTTAAATGTGACTGCCCTTCCTAGCCCTAAGCCAGTGGTGGTCTAATTGAGAGGGTAGGCTGTTGATTTTTGTGGGGTAAGGTCTGAAATGGAGAACCAAGACAGAGTTACAAGCAGAAGTTGGTTGATTGACGGACAGGTCTATAAACTAAGGTTTCTCACGCTTAGCAAGTTTAAGAAGGGAGAATGAAGAAGGGAGGAGGAGGGGGGAGGAGGGGAGAAGGAAAAGG